ATATTCTTTTTTTTTTTTTACATTTCTTTCCTCGTGAATTTGATGCACCAATCTATATGCTTATAGACATGGTGGGGCTGTTGGAGAAAATATATAAATTACACAAACAAATAAAACATTATCAAAATAAACCATGATTGCATAGAGTATTATGCGGATAAATCCCAAAATTATTCATACTCATATAGAATTGTGCAGTGTGGGAGTAACTTAAGCATGATACTTTGACGTCACAATCGTGTTGCATCGTGGTATACGGAGTTCTCTGAAGTGTACATACAGTGTACTCGCGCTCTCTGTCAAAATCGAAGGGACGAGGGTCTGTCTATATAAACGTCCCTCATCCACTTGAGGAAGTGGAGCACACTTCAAAATAGCGCCTGGGATTCCCCTAGAAGGAAGTGCTTAGAGAAGTTTGCAAGTGTGTGTTTAGAAGTGGAAGGCAGCCGTGAAGACTTAAGGTGGGCTCTTTTTGGACAGTAAACAACCAACCACCAAAAGCACCTTATAGTAACCACATAGTAAAACACTAAAAACCACTACACCTTATAACCACAGATTTGTTAAATACATTTTATACTTCATTTTAAACAATGGGTTTATGCTTACCATCACACCGTCAGACTTCATCAGCAGTGTTTTGTTCCTTGATAATGGTTTGTTTTCCTCAGGTGACAATTCATGAAGAGCAGTTACAGATTTCGATCATCCCTCAGATTTTCAAGTTCGTATCTGGACATTAACTCCATCAAGTTCCCTTAAGGTGAGATTTTCTGTCTACATCTGTCTTTGACTCATCTTTAACATTATGGGGTTCAGCTTTGTCCTCTTGACTGCTAAAACTGTTCTGCTGACTACAAAATGAACATTGTTATTGTTCACTTGATTTGCTGTATGAATTGAGTTTAATAATCTTATGTCTATGTGTGCATTTTCTTATCTATTTGGGTGTTGCACAAATCCTTTGGGAAACTTGCGTAAGAATGAATTAGTGGAAAATAACATTGGTTATAAGGAAATTCGCCAGTAGTTTGAGGCAAGTCTTAGTAAGATAATCATAGAATTATTCATTCAACTGACAAGGGAAAAACTGCATCATTCAAGAATGAAATACCAATCTGTGTTATTGGAAAACTGTTCTGCTTTGTTTAACTTTTGTTAGCAAAGTATTACTTTATTGTTTCTTGAACTGTTGTATAACACTTTAGTACATCAACAGTTGTATTTTAAGTTGTTTTCTGTAAAGTAGAAGTCAAACTGTGAGTATCATGAGCAGGAATGGAAAAAAACACGCATTCAACCACACGTTGTTCACACAGACACACTCCTGACACCTCAGACACACTCGCAAACTGACATCAAACACCAACGTCTAGCAGTAGACATGCTTATACAAAAACCTGTCTGTACAAAATGAGTTCACTTTGAGTATTTTGCATCTACGTTTTGCACTTGGAGATACACACACAGTTTTGAGACTGTAAAGGGATAGTTCACCCAAAAAAATGAAATTTCTGTCATCACATACTCACCCTATCGTCTCCAGAACACACATGAAAGTGTTGAATATTCTCTCATCATTTTACATTATCCACTGAAAGTCCACACAACCAACCTCTTCAAGCTTCAAATAGTTCATGAACACATTATGCATTTATTCACACATAAACATTGATGCACATGCATCGAGCAAATCAAATATGCTAAACATGGAAACTCAAACCTGGATGCTGGATGTGCAAGAAATACTGAGGATCATTTCTGCATATCAAATAAGTCTAATGGATGGACGAAAAAAAAAAGCATTAAAAAAAACCTCATTTGTGTTCCGTAGGTGAATGAAAGTATTGTGGGTTTGATATCATGTTGTCTATATGAATTTGTAATGAATGAATGTAGTGATTCTCACCAATTACAAAACTCTACAATAGACTT